GATATTATTCTGATATTAAGGCATTACAGGCTCCCTCAGAAAACCTCCATGCCTTTCCATCTCTGTGTCCCTGGGATCCTCGGAAACCAGGCTGATTATAAAGCTCTTAAAATCCTCCCAAGAATCCTACTGAGTTAGGCACTATTATTGAAGAAATCAAGGTTCAGAGACACTAAGTAGCTTGTCCATAGTCACTCAGCCAGCGGGTGTAGAACAAGGATTTGAACCTTGAGAACGTCACCTCCAAGTCTGTGCTCTTTCCACTGCTCTATAAGCCTCTCCATGATCTCCTTAAATCTCCCACCAACCCAGAAGGCAGGCAGGGAAGGCCTCTTTATAGAAGAGGGAACTGAGGCTGATGGAAATGGTCACTTCCGAAGGCTTCCTGACTCATTCTGGGAACTGACTAAAGTTCTGGGTTTCTGATTCCAAAACTGGGCCCCTGCACAGCCGCAGGCTCCTGTCAGTGACCTGCTGAGTCACCCGCTCCAGAAAGCCACCTGCAGCAGGGTAGGTGGAGCCTGGGCTATGGCAATGCCTGACAAATTCATGTGCCTCTCAGGGCCCTTCTAAGCCCCCTCACCACAGAGGTGACGAGTAAATGACAAGGGGCATCTCTGCTCCCAAGGGATTCCAGTCACGCGAACTCCGCCAATTAAGGCTGGAACGATGTCATCTCCTGAAATAGCATTTTAATGAGTGATGGTTCTGCAATAAATTGTTATCTTGTGATCCCTCATTAGAGAGCTTAATTAGATCCATCATAAAACATATTGATCAATGGCACTGAGCAGGTCCACAGGACATTCACCGTCTGCTGGAACATTCCTGCTCACCCTTTGGCAGAGCCTGGTGGGACCAGTCCCTGAGTCCTAAGAGCTGCTTGGGTGCAAGTTCTTTTTGAGTACCTGGGCACCATTATCCTGGTTCTTTCCTTCCTCCCTTATTTTCTTTCACAAATATTTATTTTAGCACCGTCCGTGTGCCAGGCACTGTGCTGCCTGCTTATGCTTTAACTTAGTTTATCCTCATGAATATCTGTTATTTCCTTATTTTGAAAATGGTGAAACAAGCACCCCAAGCTGTCAACTGGGTGTAGCCCCAACAAACTGAGTTATATTTCAGGTAACAACTTCTGGGGAGTGGCTAATGCAAGATGGACAAAAGTAAAACTGAATGGAAGAGTAGACTTGATTAAACTCCTAATCCCTGCTGAGACTCTCTGCTGGGCAGTATATGTATGTCACATTTAACCTTCATATCAATGGTGAGAATTTTCATCTTCATTTTATAGTTAAGAGAACCGAGTCTCAGAAATGTTACTTGCTCAAAGTAATACAGCCAGTGAATATCAGAGCTGGAATTAGAACATGGCTCCAGGAACCTCAAATCCAGACAGGTGTGGGTTCAAACTCCAGTGCTATTATATATGTGCTATATAATTGTGTAATTTCTCAAGTTACATAAACCTTCTGAATATCAGACTCTGCATCTATAATACTGAGGGTAATAACTGGACCCATCTCATACAGTTATTTTGAGGATTCAATGAAATAATGCCTGTCAAGCATTTAAATAGTATCTGACCCACCCTAAGTGTTCAGTAAAGATTTTTCACTGAACATCCCAATTGTTTCCCCTTGGAAAGAAGTGACCTGTTTCCTTATCTATAAAGTGAGTATAGTAACCCTTGCCCTTAAACAATTCATAGGAGAGCACTTTAAAAAAGGTAAAGTATTCAAACTGGTTGGTCACCTTCTGTATACCTGTGTGCTGGCAAAAACTGGAGTCAGCATCTATTTTATGGAAGTTTTTTTTTTTTTTTTTATCTCAGCTTACTGCAAACTCTGCTTCCTGGGCTCAAGCCATCCTCCCACCTCAGCCTCCCGAGTAGCTGGGACCACAGGCACACGCCACCAAATCTGACTAATCTTTTGTATTTTTGGTAGAGATGGGCCAGGCTGTTCTTAAACTCCTGAGCTCAAGCAATGCACCTGCCTCAGCTTCCCAAAGTGCTGGAATAACAGGCATGAGCCACTGAGCCCAGCCTGGAAGAATTTTAAATTATTATTTTTATTATTAAAATAATGCACTAGCACAATGGTGGTGGGGATGGGAAGATGGATCAAGAGAAAAAGGTGGGGGTGGGTAATAAAATCAGAGTATTGAGACTTCAGTGGAAGGTAGAGGTTACTTTGGTGGCCCAGGAAGTGGCCTGGGGAGTCTAACCAATGGGGCATGACTGCATTGATTCAAGGGTCTGGGCTCCACAGGGTGTGCATGCAGTGGTGGTATGTGCACATATCTGCATTGTGCATGTGTGTGTGTGTGTGTGTATGTGTGTTGAACATAATGCACATAGGATTGTAGAACTTTGCTATGCAAAAGAAAGGACTCTGGAGACTCATCCATGGATTGTGCAAGCAGGTGTTTGTGTGTGTGTGTGTGTGTGTGTGTGTTTCTCCTTTTGTGTATTGAGGCCGGTTTCCATGAGAGGGTGACTTTTTTCACCTGTGTACACTTGGAGTTTTTTTCCTTTTTTATTATAGTAAATGTAGCTTGAAAGCTGGGGATAGCATAGCTTTTCCCTGAACACAGATCACATCACATAATTTTTCTTTCAGAGAAAAGTGCTGCAAAATAACCTGCAGATGGTGAGTCTCTTTCTCTTTCTGTCCTGCTCTTGCGTGCTCTCTCTGTCTATGTGACTCTTTGTTTTTCTCCGTCTGTCTCCATGTCTCTGTATCTCTGTCTCTGAGGCCCTATTTATAGCTTAAAATGCTTTCATATTTTAACACTTGGCATGTAAAATGCCCCCGTATTACACAACATAGCATGCATTCGGGTTTGTAATTAGATCATTGTTTCATCCCAAGTTCCACACATAATGATGCTGGACCTTGTTCCTTATTCCCTAGTACTACCTGCAAATACTGCCAGGTCTGGGTATCCTGCCCTAACCCCTTTCCCAGTTTTGTTTTTGCCAACTCCCAATGACAATCCTGCAACCTCACTGCTCCCTGCTCCCTTGCTGATCCTCTCCTGCAGCCTTCGCGATGGGTTCAGTGTTCCTCGGCGACGGCTCAGAGCAGCCCCTACCTCCTCTCCCTCTTTCTCTCTCTCTCTCTCTCTCTCTCTGGCATAACCTGAACAATCGCTTCACTCTGTTAGCAAGGCCATCAGAATTTCTGAACACAGTCACAAAATTTACATCCCTCCAATTGTCCCAATATAAACACTACCCAGAGGAAAGGGAGGAAAGGTCTCTTTTCTCTAAAATAAGAAGATGCAATTTTAAAAAAAAAGAAAGTAGAGAGGAATCAATATTCATTTTTAACCAATCTGGACATGTGTTAGAGGATATTGCTGAGAACAATTAGGGATGTATGAGTGAGAGGTTTATTTCTCACTTGCTTGTCAGGTCAGAAGACAATCTGTTTATTTTCCTGCTACAATTTTATTCGATAAACTGAAAGGATGGGAGCTAGGAAAAAGGGTATGAACAGGATGTGTGCTATCAATTTGTCAAATAAATAATCGTGCTTGGAAACAACAGATTTTATTAATTAGACAGGATGGTGTATTATTACCATTAAAGTGTTACATTGCATTAATTTTTGTATTTTACTCGGCTACTAATTACTGTAAAAGATTTCGGGAATGAAGCAAAATAAAATCATGCCGCATTATACATAATGTAAAGATAGCGTGAATTAATTTGTCGGCCGCTCCCCGCCTGCCTCCGGGAGACGAAGAGGCATGGAAGGGCCTCCGCTGCTCGGCTTGCCGGCCGCTCCAGAGCTCCGCACCAGCGCTGCTCCCGCCTTGTCGCAGGAGGCAGCTGTGAAGACCTGAGGTTCAAGACCTGGCTCAGCGGCGAACTTGCTTGGTACCCTTTGGCAAATCACTTCTCTGAGGCCTCGGTTTCCTCTTCTGTAAATGTAAACATCCCTTCTTTTTTTTACCTTACGGGGTGGTTGTAAAGATCTAACGAATTCCCGAGAGTAAAAGTGCTTTCAAATGTTAGAGATGGGAAGACGGGTTGAGATCTAGTACAGTAAGAAGAGGCAGACAGAGGTGGGGGGCATCCAGTGTTCAGACCCTGCAGGGCCAGCTCTGGTCAGACTTAATGCTCAGAGACTGCCAGAGTCGGGGGCCCGGATAGTTAGGGCTTGGGGAGGGAATTAGGGCTCTCCAAGGCCATCCAGCGGTCGTCTCAGCCACCCCCTCACTGGGCAGTGCCTGGGAGTGGGCGCCCATGGCCACACCCTGGCTGAGCCGAGTTCCTCACTGTAAATGCAGACTAGAATACACCTCCGTTGTCCCCAGGTGCTCACACCAGGGAATCCCTCACTGGGTATTGGCACAGTGGAAAAAAGCACGATTCTCGTCAGACAGGACCGGGTTTTAATCCCTGCACAGCCACGCAAGAGCCATGTGGCCACAGCCAAGTCCCTTAACCTCTCTGAAGGGCAGTTTCTTCTTCAGTTTAAAAAAACAAAAACAAAAAACAAAAACTTGTTTGCTCAGGAATAAAATTCCCACGCTGGGCACAAGTTCTGGCTAAGGAGGCGGGAGCTGGGCCCTCACGAGGGTGCCAGGGTCCCCAGGGCTCCCCATGACAGCACAACCTCATGGGGACTAGGATCCCCAGCAGAGCCCTCCCCGTCCAGCTCCATCCCGGCGCTGCCTCCCGGGTCCTCGCTGACCTCCGCTCGGGCAGAAGCCACCAAGTCCCAGGGCGGCCCCCAAGCCCCACCCCGGGGGCGCGGTTCTCCCTCGCTCGGCGGCCGAAGCCCAGCCACGTTTTTCTCCAGGCTGGGTCTCCGCAGCCAGGGCCGGACGAGGGCCATTTCTCACGACCCACTGCCACCTACTGTCCGCAGCGGAGAACTGCAGACCGAGCGCGGCAGGCCTCTGGGAAGCTGCCACCGGGAGGGGCCAGAGCCCCAGGCGGCGCTCAGGCCCCTTGGCCTGGAGCCCCAGTTCCCAATGTGTTACGGATACGTGTTGCAGCCCTGTGGGAACAACTCAGCTGGCCACCTGAAGCCCTGATGCTCTGGCTTGCACTATTACTGGGGTAACTGGACCCCTGGGGACACAGGAGCACTAGGGCAAGGGCCTCCCTCCCCATTCGGCTACAGTCCGCTTTAGAGGCCTGAAAATCCTGCCCCTGGGTTTGGAGGGCTGTCTCTGGCTGCTTGAACTGGACCGATGTAGGGCTTCCAGAGACAATTGTCCCTGTTTCCAGTTTCCAGATTAGAACTTCGCCTGTCCTGCAAGTCTGACCTGAGTCTGAGCTGGGCCTGCCTTCAGCTTTCTCCCTATTCTCTGGATGCCTTATGTGACCTTCTCTTGGGGCATGGATCAGGCAGCCCTGCATAAAAGCATGGTCCCAAATCTTGACTTCTCCACTCACAAGCTGGCTGATCTGAGGTAAGTGACTCAGCCTTCTTGTGCCTAGTTTTCCTCATCTTTAAACCAGCAATATCAATAGTAACTTCCATATAGGGTTGTCATGAGGATAAAATGCGTGGATATATATACACACACATACACACACACAAAGGAATTAGAACAAGGCCTGGCACACAGTAAATGCCTTATACGTACATAGTAGTGCATTATCCAAACATTAGGGATTATCTGTGTCAGTGTTATCTGTGTGCCTGTCGCAAGACTTCCGTTTGATTGTGAGCTCCGTAAGTGCAGAAATCATCTCTGATTCAGCCATGAATCCTCAGCTACTTGCACACAGAAGGTTGCAGTACCAGTTATCCATGCATTCATTCATGCATTTAATAAATATTCATTCTACTAAGTGCCAAGCACTCTGTCCCGGGTTTACAAATATTAAGAAAGACAAAGACCCTTCCCTCATGGAGCTGATGTTGTTTGGAGAAGACAGAAAGAGAGCAAACAAGTAAGTTGATAAAATGGGTACATCTTGTAAAAAGTGCTAGAAAGAGAACAGCCAGACTCTTTGGAAGAGGATGATGGAGGAGGAGCGTGGAAGAGAGCTTTTGGATGGTCAGGGAAGGCATTGCTTCTGAAGGCCTCTGAAGAAGTGATAATTAAGCTGAAATTTAAATGAAAAGGAAGAAGCTGGTGGATGCCTGGGGTATAGGCCAAAGATGGACTGCAAAGGAGGAAACTTCCTAAGGTGATGGAAATGTAACAGTGGTTACCTAAGTATATTTATATAGTTGTCAAAACTCATCAAACTGAACCCTGAAAAGGAGTGAATTTTATTCATAAAAATTATGCTTCAGGATGGGCACAGTGGCTCATGCCTATAATCCCAGCACTTTGGGCCAACGTGGGTGGATCACCTGATGTCAGGCGTTCAAGACCAGCCTGGTTAACATGGTGAAACTTAGTCTCTACTGAAAATACAAAAAGTAGCCAGGCCTGGTGGTGTGTGCCTGTAATCCCAGCTACTTGGGAGACTGAGGCAGGAGAATCACTTGACCCTGACAGGCAGAGGTTACAGTGAGCTGAGATCACACCATTACACTCCAGCCTGGGCAATAAGAGTGAAACTCCATCTCAATAATAATAATAATAATAATGATAATGCCTCAATAAAGCTGATTTAAAAATAAAAGATGGTAGCCAAGTAAAAAATCAAGGAAGAGCATTCCAGACATTGCAAAGAAGAGCTGATGCTTAGCCTCTGAAGCAGGGAAAATCTTTTTGCATCCTGGGAAGGCCTGTATGGATGAAGCATGGTAAAGAAGAGGGAAGGTAGCAAGAGATGAGGCAAAACCATGACATGCTGGACTTGGTGAGGTTAGGATTTTATTCTGTGTGAACAGAAAAAGCCCTTGATTTGCTATCAAAAGTCCTAAACCCTGGTCTGGACTTTCTAGCTGTATTGTCTTGGATGAATCATTGAACTATTGTGAACATTTTTTAAATGTGTAAAATAGGACTACAAATGATATGCAGGGATCCCATCAAAGGGGGCTGCAGCCAGGGCTGACTATGAAGGCAGGCTGACTGACACCTGACACCTGGGGATATACCCACATACTTTTATTGGGCACTCAAAAGATTGCTTATTGAATTAAAATAGTACATGCCTATACGGAGTAGAGACCTATGACCTTTCAAATAGCAGTTGGTAAGTGGTGGGGTGGAAGAATGGGAATTATTCCCATAATTAGGGCATTGACTAATTAGGGCATTGAGTCCTTCAGTGTGTCCTCACTTACCCAATACTGTTTTTCTCTCTTATAGGCAATTCTTCTTTTCCTTGGTCTCATAGCATGTGTCACAGTTTATTATTATGCATTTAAATTCTGTACATCTTTGTTCAGTGTCTGACTTTCTGTGGACTGAAAGTTCCATGAGGACCAGGACTGTGTCTGTTCTCTAAACCAATGTACCCCAGTATCTAACACTATCATTGGTACATAGGAGGCACTCAGTAAATACTACTTGAATGAATGAATGAATGAATATAACCATTTATCCAAAGACAATTAACTATCCACAGGGCCTTTCTGGTTCTTCCCAAATAATCCACCTTCTGCCCATTACCCTCTGGAAGCTCATCGCTTAAGCCTTCCTTTTTGGGTTTTCTCCATCATCCTCATTCTAAATTCAGCACTGACCAACCCCACAGGGTTTCTTTCTATTTTAATAAACATCTACACAAAATTAAGGAGATAAAGACTGGTGGTTGTGTTTGATTTCACACTGGTTTTGGCCTTGGATATTGTAAACTACCTTCACTTTAATTTGGTTTTCTGAAGTAGATAGGGTTGAATTGACTATAATTCCCATTTTCCACATGAGGAGCCACACAGTTGACGAGATGGATTGACTCATCCCGTGGCATAGCTAGGGAGTGGCAGGGACACAGATAAACCCCGGGTCCCATGGCTCTAAATTCCATGATCCTTTTCCCTCCAGGTTCCTCTGCTTGATGGTTGTATGTGCAATACATTTCTCCCTTCACACCTTAGGCACTGATGGTGCATGACAAACCGTGGTGATGGTTCTCCACTGAGAAAAGATGATAAAGTCTCTCAGAAGCAATACTCTTCTTACCGTAAGTATCTAATCCACTTCCAGTGGCCATCAGAGCAAATGGAGGACATTATAACACGATTACGTGCATAGATCCCAAGTAAGGCCTCTAGAGCCAGATCTGCCAGGTTTGCATATTGGCCTTGCCACCTTCCAGCCCTCCAACCTTGGGTGATTTATTTCAGGTCGCTGTGCTACAGGCTCTTCATCCTAAATTGGAGATAAGAATAGTGACTACCATATAGGGTTTCTGGGTGAATTAAATGAGTTAATACATGTAAAATGCTTGGAAAAGTGCTTATCCAATAGAAAGTGGCCAATTGATGTTGTCCTTCCTTCCTTCCCTCCCTCTCTTCATCCCTCCCTCCCTTCCTCTCCTTCCTTCCTTTCTTCCTTCCTTCTACCTTCCTTCCCTCCTCCCTCCCTCCTACCTTCCTTCCCTCCTTCCTTCCTTCTCTCCCTCCTTCCTTCCTTCCCTCCTTCCTTCCTTCCCTCCTTCCTTCCTTTCTTCCTTCTCTTTCTGTATTTCTCTCTCCACTTCTTTCTCTGTTACTTTTTTTGTTCTTCTCTTTTCTTTTTTCTCTCTTGCTCTATATTATTCTTCCTAAATTCCTGTCTCTTCTCTGAATGTAACTTCACAATAGTGCATTGATAAATATTTGCTGAACCAATACATAAATGAGTAAAGAAAAAGGAAAGGGAAGGAGGGAGCTGATGCCTGGCACAAGATGTGAAGAAGTGAGGATAGAACAAAACAAGATAATCTTGTGTTTTTATATGTTTGTTTTTATCTTAATGTATGAGCTATAACAGGTAAGACATTCTCATCCTGTTTTACCATGGGAAAGTCAACCAACCTCTCTGCACCTCCCTTTCTGCATCTGTATGGGAGCAGCATTGAACTAAATAGTCCTTATGTTTTCTGTCTCTGAGTCTACAATTCCATCTATATGAAATGTGATGTTGACTTTTCCTAGCATTTGAAATGAGATGGGGAGGGGATGAAATAAGCCAAATGTACATTTCCAAATGAAACCTGTTTCACCTGTAGCACCCATACAAGACTTCACAGGTGAGTACTTGCTTTGATCTCACCCTGGTGTTGACTTCTATCTCCTACTCTGCCTCTTAATAGCAATGGGACTTTGAGCAAGACACTCAACATCTCCAAGCTTCCCTTTCCTCATCTTATTATGAGACTAAATGAGATAATGCATTGTAAGATGCTTAGCACAGTGATCAACATGTAGTAAATGTTCATTAAATTACCACTGATGTACGTTGTTAAAGTGTATATATGACCTCAAGCCTTGACAAAACCCATTCTAAGGCCCAATGATGAGTTTCCTATTAGCTGGTATTTTGGGCATTTTATGATTAAGCATTCATTGAAAATCCACTATCTGTTAGAAATTGAACCTCATGATAGCATAGGGAAGTCAAGGTTCAAAGGATTACATGCATTTTTTCAGGTCCCAATATATTTCTCGTACTTTGCTATATTATGCCCTTTAGTCCTTCTAACAACCCTGTAGGTAGGTTTTGTTGGGGTTGCAGGAATGAATTGAACTCAGGAAGTTGCAGAAGTAGAGCCTGCAGGGAGCAGGTGTGATGGGAATTCACAGGACTCAACCTGGACCACACCCAGCTCCTTCCCCTCTGTAAGCCCCAGTCAGCAAATATCCTGATTGCACAGTGCCAAGGATGGGAGTGCTGTTGAGATTCTCATCAACCCTGCAGAGTGGGAAAAAATATGAGTACCTCCCTCATGAATTCTCAGTCCTTGCTTCTGGCTTCCTGTCCCTTCCCTTCTTTGACTTCTTCCACGCAAGGCTTGGGCATAAATAATGTACCTGAGCATGAATAAACACTGTGACTGGCTTCTCTCTCCCAGGGGATGTTTTGCTTTTGCAGCTGGATCTCTCATATCTTCTGGACCCAAACTCCAAGCCTCCACATTCTTACTTAATTAGAATCCACAGGCCTTAACCCAGCACGTGGGCTCTTCCCCAGCCTCCCTCCCTCTCTCCCTCCCACCTGAGTCAACTTGCCTGTGGTTGTCTTCTCTTATTCCAGCCCGAAGACCCTGGTCTATTCGACCCCTCCTCATACTCCCCATCTCCAGGATTCTACTGATGCTGCTTGCTGCTTCTGCTGGAATACTTCACATACCCAAATACTGCCTCTACTTTAGGTCTCAGTTCAGAGATCACCTCCTCCAAGAAGACCTCTGTGATTTTACAGCTGGAAATAGTTTTTCTCTCAGAGAAATCATTACAGCAGTGGTTCACAACTTTGAATATGAATTTTTGCACATGAATCAGCCCAGATATTTTGTTAAAATGCAGATTCACAGACAGTAGGTCGGGGATGGGGTCTGAGATTCTGCATTTCCAACTTGCCCACCCGTGATGTTTGCTGATGCTTCTGGTCTGTGAATTACCCATTGAGTAGCAAGTCATTGACCAATCTGGCTGTGTATCAGAATCACTTGACAAGCTTATTGAAACTGTGGATCCTGGGGCCAGAGGTTGATCCAGGTTTTGTGGGGCCTGAATTTATTCCATCTAGAGAGTCCTTTTAAAAGTATATATATAAAGTTATGAATAAGAAATTGCCACCTATTGTTCCAGCTGCTTGGGAAGCTGAGGTGGGAGGATCACTTGAACCTGGGAGGTAGAGGTTGCAGTGAGCTGAGATCGCGCCACCGCCCTCCAGGCTGGGCAAGAGAGCAAGAGCCTGTCTAAAAAAAAAGGAATTGCTGGATCTTCTCCCAGGTCCCTGGAAGGAGCTGTGCAAGTGAAGGGTCTTGACGTATAAACTTCACTAGCTGCAAGGTAAATCCATTTTTGCCTGGGGCCCACACAACAGCAGAATCTTGGAAGGCAGGAACTATATGTGTGTTTTGTTTTTAGAATTTCTCCAGGTTATTCATAGTGACCAATCCTAGACCTACCCCCACGCCCCTTCTAGGAATAGAGCACTTGAACTCCTGTCCATCCACTTACCTCCCTCTATTCCTTCCATCTCCAAAGCGGCTGTGCCAGGCACTGGGATAGACCCCACAGAAACAAGGATCAAGGACAGGCAGGCTCCTCCCCTCAGCAAGCTCATGGTCTACTGGAAAACTGGTCACAGCTTCACAAAATAAACTCCTATCAGCTGTTCGTCCAAGTGCTGCAGGGATCAGAGGAGAGAACAAAACTCAGTCCTGATAAAAAGACAAGACTGGGAGGTCTCCCAGAGGGGCTGACATCGAGCGAGCTCTTACCAAATTACTGGGGCTTCTCCAAGCAGAGGGAACACTCTGTGCAAAGGCAGGGAGGCCTGAGAGAATATGTTCTCTTCAAGAACTAGCCAATCAAATCCATGTGTGGCAGAAGAGCAGGGCATATTTTGGGGGTTGGGGGCAGGGGGTAGGGCTGTGAGGAACCGGGATGGAGAGGTGGCTAGGCTCTCAGGAGTTGGGGCTCTTTGGGAGTGGATGGTGGGCAGTGGATGGTTTTCGGGCAGGGGACTAGCATGATCAGGTCTTTTTTTTACACGTGCATGCATTACTTTCAACTTCCAACAATAACTAGTTCTTTCCATGACATCACATTATTAGATCCAGAGACCTTTATTTCTTTTTTAAAGACATCTTTAGTTCTTTAATGACTATTTCTTTTAAAGTAATTATTGAATGTCAGATAGCCTGCAAAGTATTTTGATCTTATTTATTCCTCCTACAAACTCTGGGAGGCATAACGGATGATGTCTATTTAACAGATATATGAACTGAGGACAGGAAAGTTTAAGGGACTTGCCCAAGGTAACAGAAATAGAAAATCTGAAAAGCCTTAAGACCCATAGACAAGCATGGTGCCAGGCACACCGCAAGGACCAAAAATGTTTGGTGAATTAAGAGATGAATGCTGAGGTTAAAGAGTTTCACTTGTTAAGGCAATTTAGGGAAGCACATGCCAGTAAGTTTGAGGGATGTGAGGCCTCCTTTCTGTTTCCCTGGAAATCCCAGGTTCTTGCTCCTGGGGGAGATAAATTCTTCCTAATATCCATGCATGTGCCCTCCTACCATTCCCTTCCAGAAGCCGTGCCTTCCTCATGCACTCTGCCTCAGTCAGAGAAAAGATACAGCAGCAGCACAGACTGTGGAACATAGTGAAGAAAGTTGTTTTGGTGATTTTACGTGATTGCATGGCAGGTGGATTTTAATAGGGCTTTTCGAAACCATTGCATTCAATACAATTCAATTCCATTATTCCAATTAGGACAAATGAACTTGACTTTAAAAATACTTAGTGAGTGCCTAATATTGCTACTGGCAAGTGATAGTGAGTGAGAATCCCCAGGATGCTGGAGGCCTCTGGATACAGGAGTTGAACTTGACATAGATCCTTGATTTTAGTTTTCCCTCTGGAATACATTCTAATCTATAGCAAAATGTGGCTCCTCGTTCATGGCTGGGACCTTCAGCTATTTCCTCCAGTGAGTTCAGCCTCATTTCCCTGCTCTCCTTGCCAAAAATGATGATGGTCATGACGTTTCATAAGGAATGTGACAGTATTTTCTGGACTTGACAATAGTACAGGATAAAAGAAAAGTTAGATCATTATGATTCTTCTCCTACAGAAGTTCAGAGAAGTTCAAAAACCTGCACAGTTAGGAAGTTGTGGCACTGGGGCCAGAACCCAATTTTCTAATGCCTGGTGGGGACAATTTCAATATGACATTATTGCTAGGTCACCAATCTGGCAGTTAATTAACATCTTTGTGATGATATGTTCACATGTTATTCTCTCATCTGCTCACACTTGTCAGTGTTTTCTTTCCAAATAAGCTGTAAACAAGTTATAGGAAGGAAGCTATGATTTCACTCCTATTCTCTTATATGCCAAACACTGTAAGGTATTGTTATGGGGGGTACTAGGGTTACAATTACGAACAAAATAAATATACTTCCTGTCCTCTGACAGTGTATCATCTAACTGAATAACATATTTTATGACTTTTTGAATTTTTACTATGTCTTAAGTATTGCGTTCTCCACTTTACAGATGAGTACATTGAGATCCAGAAAGTAACCAGGAACTTGTCTAGAAGGGGAGAGCTGGGATTCCCACAGATTCCTGGATTTCTGCTTCCCAGAAGCTGGCCCAGGGCTGAGCCAACACAGTATGCTATGGCAGTTTAAACACATGGCTTTTGAAGTCAGACAGATTCAAATCTCAGCCCAGCTAATTACTTGTGTGATCTTAGACAGGCTGTTTCCCTTTAAACCTCAGTTTCTACATCTGTAAAGTAGGGGTCATGACAACTGGCTCCCAGTTATTTTGTTACATGGGTCAGTTGAAAATATGAAGAATGTGAGACTCTTAAATGAATACCTGGTGCAGCGCAAGGGCTCAATAAACAGTAGCTATTCTCACTATTACTATTAATCATTGGCAGACACAGCACCACTCTGCCTGCAGTTATGTGCACGGTGCTTTAGTAGTTTCTTTTCCCCTGAGTTGTTGAGAGTAAAATACTCTGTCCTCCCCGCTTCAGCTCCCCACATTCCAGAAACAGAGACCACTTACACAAGCAGCAACAGGGTCCATTTCTGTGACCAGTGGAGCCAATGGCCCACTCGTTGGAAACACCAGCAAGCAAAGTGTCAGGACTCAGAAGCCGCCAACAGGCTTCAGGACCCTGCCAAGCCCTCGTGCCCACTCGAGCAGCCAGGGGGAGGGGGTGACTATGGCATAAACACACGTTTGCTTTCATTTGGCTTAGCTGACTGTGTGTTTTGTTAAACAAATTTAGGTTTGGAAAAGATTATTTTTGGTACACTGCTGCATAATTAGATGAATTTTCATGAGTTTATTCTTGAAATAAACTTTGAAATTGTCCGTGTTTTACTGTTTTTTAATCATCTGCAGATACTGTTTTTTGAGACTTAGCATGAAAAAAAAACCTTGTTACATATCAGTTTAATTTAGATTCAAATAAAATAATTTTTTGAATTTGCAGCAACAACAAGTCTGCGAAAGTGGTTGTAACTGGTGCTGAGTTGTTTGAGGATCAAGATAATTACAGTATAAAGGATAAGAGAGAATATAATATCCTGGCATCCAGTGCCTATTCAGCTAATCCCCAGCCCTTGACAGATGTTCAAACACAGTATTTTTAAAAGCTGACTTTTAAAAAAACAGGGCAATTCACTTATTAGATATAAACAACATGATAAGAAATTCAAAGTCTGACATCCATTACGAACCGTCCGTGTTGAGAAGCGTGAGAGACAAGGCAGAAAGTCAGATGCGCTGTGCTCATTGCTGTAATGGGTGTCCAAGCAGGGCTGGGATTGCAGAAAGACCAGGCCCCCACTTTGCCAGGGGCACAGGTTTCATCTGTACCAGCCCCCGAGAAGCAGAGCCCCAAAGGCAGCTTCGATGATGCTGTAAGCCTACGCAGCAGCCTTTCTGGCGGCTGCTTGAAGCCGAGGCTGCCAGCAGCCAGCACCAGGATAGTTTTGCCGGCTTTAAACAATAGCCACGTAGTGATCGGTGGTCCATAAAGATGGTCAGGCAGATGGAGGGTTAATGAGTGGGGAGTCTGTTGGCTCAAAGATCACTCTTGTCGCTGGCCTCTGACACTCCTCCACTCTCATTCATCAAACATACTACTGAGCCTGAGTATCTGTGGAGAATCAAGGCTGACTGCTAGCCTCTGGGTTCAGAGATGAATAAGACCTCATTCATGCCCTGCCTCCAAAATCCCACAGTGCAGCAAAGGAGATAAATTATATCCATTGACAACAACTACAATTATTATTATTATTATCATTATCATTATTAAACTTTGTTTATATGCTAAGCTTAATTCTGAGTGCTCTTCCTAATTCCCACAATAATCTTATGGAATAGGTGTTATTATTATGCCCATCTTACAGATGAGAAAGCTATGGCACCGAATGAATAAGTATGTGATGAAGTTATTTCTGACTGTGGCTGGTAGCAGTGGTGGAGGAGGAACCACAGAAAGCTTTATGGAAAGGGTAGGGTTTGGATTGAGTCTGTATGGACAGTGGGGTTTGAAACGTGGAGATCCAGAAAAAGGACATTCAAGGCAGAGAGAACAATGGAGAGAGAAGAGCAAAAATATTATCTGGTGAAGTAAGATACCAAGCTGCACTGAGGATGGCATGAGATTGTCTTTTTTGCCTTCCTATTGGAAAGAAATTCTTTATAAAAAGCCCTTGGCACCCTGGGAAGCACAGGCTCAACTGTGGATGCTGATGCTTCTTCCCTTTCTGTCAAATATTTTTTCCGGGGTCCTTAAAACTGCCTCTGTAATAGCAGTGGTTCCAAGGTGGCCAAGTGCAGAGGTTCAGGGGAAACTCCAGCAGATGCTTCTCTCCTGGCCTAGGCCTGGACATATAAGTCCAGGCCCAGGAAGAGCCAGGCTTCAGCATCAGAGGGTGCCAGTACTGTGGATTATTCCAAGTGCAAGCACATTCAAAAGGCAGACCACCTGTTCCACTTGTCTCTTGGTTTTCATTGCATGCTTCAATGATACATATCATTTCACTACCGCTAATCTGTTTTTAGTATTGTGTTAAGAATTACCTTATCCGTATAGTACTTTAATTAACTAATTTATTTATCTTTAGAGACAGAGTCTTGATCTTTCACCCAGGCTGGAGTGCAATGTTGTGATCATGGCTCACCGCAGCCTGGAACTCCTGGACTTAAGTGATCCTCCGCCTCAGCCTCCCAAGTAGTAGAGATTATAGGCACATACCACCATGCTCAGCTAAGTTTCCTTCCTTCCTTCCTTCCTTCCTTTTTCTTTTTCTTTTTTTTTTTTGAAACAGTGTCTCGCTATGTTGCCCAGGCTGGTCTCCAACTCTTGACCTCAAACAATCTTCCTGCTCCCAAAGTGCTGGGACTACAGACGTAAGCCACCACGCCTGGCTCAACTTTAAAACAATTGCTGAAAAGGATCTTCTTTCAGAAAATATTCCCTTTTCTCCCACCCCACCCATCCCCGACGTGCACACAGAGCACATCTTTCCATGAGGACATGCATGCAAGGCAAGGGAGAGGGGTCTGAAGATCATGCGAAGAGCCTGCTCTCCGTCCCCTGCTGTAGGGTGGCCAGGGCTGACACACTTAGAATTCAAATGGGCCCACCCTAGACTGGCTAGCTGTCATGGCCTCAGAGCCAAGGAGAAAGTGGTCAGCTGCTGGGTGTGACCTGTACTCCAGGAGTTTGCCAGACAAGTATTACTTGAGTATTTTCTAGAGACCAGATGTCAGCCACTCATGAGAGACAGTCTGTGTTGGGCTGTTTTAGCTCTTGCCCAAGAGGGCCATCAGGAGTGGGTGTGGGAGCATAAAGCAGGAAGAAAGGATTAACTTCTCTATCTCATGCTTACCCTGGGCTCCACCTCAAGGAAGCATGGGTCCCCACTCTGGTTTCAGCCACACACTCTCTTGGCAGCCTTCAGAAATGTACAAGGCTTCCAAAGAGCAGCCTCTTTCAAGGAACTTCTCAGCCCTGGCTTAGTTCTAGGGGAGGAGGTGAGCCTGGGCAGGGTGTGCCAGGGCTGTTCTCCTGCTCCTTCAGCTCCCCTGAGGTGGCCTCTACTCAGGATGTCCTCATGCTCCTGGGGATTCCTGAAACAACCACAGGATTCAAGGATGTGGGGCTGTGGTCATTGCCCTCTCACTCTTTACATGTTTATGACCAGACATCTCAGATTCTCTGAACTCAGGCTCAATTTCAAAAGCTTCATGCCTTTTCTCCCAATATAATAATATTAACTAGCCTTCATGGAGTGTTTTCCAGGTACCTGATGCTGCTCTAAGAATTTTACATATATTATCTAATTTAATTCTCACCCAATCTTAAGGTCTGTAAGATGAGATGCACCCATGTCCTGGGGCTAGTACATGCCTATCCTTCCCCACATTTAACAGAGATTTAATTAAGGATGAAGATCAAATGACAGACAGACTGACTGAACAAATGAATGAATGATGGGAGGAAAGAAACAAGGTCGCCAAGAACATGAAAAGAACCACTAAGCTGAAAGTGAAAGAAACACTCAGCCACTTACTAGTTGGGAGTGACTTTGAGCAAAATCTGTAAGCCTTAGTTTTCCCTTTGTAAAAAGGAGTTACTGGCACTAGAGTAAAGGAAGGTATAAGTTGTGAAAGTACTTTAATTTGTTTATAGTAAGTGCTCACTTGTTGTTAAATGCATATATATATATATATATATATATATTTTTTTTTTTTTTACCTAATACAGGGACAGATTCCACTTTTCTGTATGGCCTGTCTTGGGGAGGGCATCGAAATTCTTGGAAGCAATATAAACATTCTGATGTCTCCTTACACAAATAGAATTAGAACCACAGCTTTTGATTATTTTTTAAAATGTCTGTCCAGTCTGTGCTTGATCACCTTCAGTAACAGGGAGGTCACTACTTCTTGAGACATTTTAATCCATGGTTATGTCACACAGTCTTCATGGTTGACCAGTTGCTCTTTGCATTGTGCTGTCCTGACTGCCTCACTGGACAAGAAACAGAGCTTTCTTGTCCTGGGCTTCAGCTCTTCTCAAATTGGAATGGAAAAGTATAGATTCATAGAATGTCAGAGTTTAAAGAGACTTAGAAACCCCCTATTCTGGGTCTTTAATTCACAGGAAACCAGGAAATCTCTATGCGAGAGACAGCATTTCAATTGGTTGGTAAGTGGAAAATTCTTTATTCAGCCTTTGTCCAGAGTGTTGTACTGAATAATTTCTCCTTGGAATATATTAAGAGGAAAGGCACTTTGGCTTCATATGTATGTACAAGATGCCTATTTCAGAAATGAATTATTTCTCCTAAAACATGTTCTATGGTGATTGTGGTAGATTGTTGCAGTAATGGATTTGAATTGTTCACATCATCCTATACACCCTTGGGAAGTGCCCTTTATACTATTCTGGTGGCTATGTGACTTGCTTCGGCCATTGTGATGCAAGAGGAAACTTGAGACGTGTTTGTGCATTGAGACATCCTTTCTTACTTCTCCCATAACCCCATGACTGCCTTCTCTAGCTTGATGAATGTTGCTCCGTGGCCCCACCAATAGCCAGCTAATCCCCAGAAACAGAGCCACCTCACTGACTGGCAGTTAACTGCAGATACTTGAGTGAACCCATTTGAGACTAGCAGAAGAACTGCCCAGCTGAGCCCAGACCAAATTAGCAACCCTCAGAGTCATCAGCTAAATAAATGGTTATTGGTTTAAGCTAAATAAATGGTTGTTGGTTTAAGCCACTAAAGTTTGGGATGGTTTTTTATGCAGTCCTCCTCCAAATAAAAGCATATGGATCATTTCTCTAACTAGCCTGTCAGCTCAGAACAACCTTGTAACTGACAAAACCACTGGTCACAAAGTTTAAAGCTAAACAAGGAAGAGTTCTTTTACTTGAGCTTTTACTTGAGTTTTTACTCTTCAGTTAGTAAAAATTTAACAACCATGTTAAATGCATCATTTAACAACAAGGATATATTCTGAGAAATGCATCAGTAGGTGATTTTATCATGGTAGGAATGTCATAGAATGTACTTAGACAAACCTAAATGGTATAGGCTACTACACACCTAGGCTATACGGTATGGCCTATGCTCTTGGGCTACAAACCTGTAGAGCCTGTTACCATACTGAATACTATAAGCAATTGTAACACAATGGTAAGTTTTGTGTACCTAAATATATCTAAACATAAAAAAGGTATAGTAAAAAATACAGTACTCTAATCTTATGGGACCACCATTGTATATGTGGTCCATCATTGACCAAACTGCGGTTATTCAATACATGACAGTACATGTCTATTCCGAGGTCCTGAGAGCTTGCTGAAAGTCACAGAGCCAGCTGGTCATCAGAGAAATCAGAATTGAAACCCAAGTAGGCCTGGTTCCAAAGTTTACACTCTAATCTTTTAAGGGAAGCCTACCAGATCTTTCTTCAGGGCCTTTATCTCCATAGAGCCTATGGGCTGTGCTCCTGACTTCCTTATGAAGCCTACTTTGCTACCACCACACAAGACTGGGACCCACCGTGATGGAGCTGTCACAGAAGGAAGGGAAAGAAGGAAATTATGCCATACTCTGCACTAATAATTATAATCACTAACACTGACCTCTAATTATTAACCACTAACTATGTGCTAGACATTCTTCTAGCCCCCTACGTGTATTATCTGATTGAACCCTCATTACAGTCAACTATAGGTATTACTAACCCCGTTTTACAAATATTTAACTAAAATGGCCCAGTAAATAAAGAGCAAGAATTTAAACCCAGGTCAACTGGCATTGGAGCCAAGATGTTCA